TATATATATATACACACCCATATGTAACATTTTTTATTATATCTGTTTGGATTCCGTTCTCAATTGCGTGTAACATGGGATATAATATATTTTCGAAATACATCTTTGGTGTTTATTGAGATATACACTTGGGGACACTCAAATAAAATATATCGCTTCCCAGCCATCTGCAAATGTGTATGTATACTGCACACTTTAGATATATTTACAGAGTAAAAGCAGACAAAACTTTATCCATAGTCTTTATTATTTTAATAAACCTTTAGACTTTATGTTCCAGATGAAAAGAAAGAGCTTCTAAAGCTCAATATAGATCCGCTGCGTTTTGGGCAGCAATAAGGATGACTATATATATTTTCATATGATGTACACTGGTAAACGGACTGATTTCCTCACATCTGCTATTGCAATCATGATTTATATTCAAAATATCCTTTCTGGATGTTACAAATTCCAAAAGATACTGTCTAATATCCTTATTTAGTCAGCGGCCTAAATAAAGAAACACATAGAATAAAGTCTTTGCAAAGCGTCCATGTTGAAAATTCAACTACATTTAACTCTTAGCAAGAGGAAAAAGGGGGGAAAATCCGAAAAAAATGCATTTCCTTTTGGGTGTATGAGCTACTAAATCCTTGTATTTAATGGTGTTATGCTGCCATCTGCTGGCCAATTGAGATCTTCGCATTCAGTGAAATAATCCTGAGCTGCTTGACAATAACATTTCCCAATCTGAAATAAACAGCATGTGGATGTTTTGCTGCCTTCTCGGGCAAACAGTTGATGTTATAACTGTACAAAAGCTAAAGATTTCAATGTTACTGAACAATGAGATAGTTATTTCCGCTCTGCGCATTATCTAAATCCGCCAGACAAAACAAATGAAAAGGCTTCTGTAGAAAATCTTAATTGCGGCTGGACAGCTATAAAGTCATTAAGAGGCGAATTCCAGACAGTTTGCAGACCAGCCATTTATTGCACACTTTTAGTGGCCATTCTTTTGAAGTTCCTTTCTGCCTGTAACAACAGAGGGCGTCCCAAGTGCCCGGAAAAGGCTGCAATTATTTTTTTCCCCTTACCTTAAAAGAGCAATGGCCATTCTCTTTAATAAAAAAAAGCAGATGTCATTATTTCGGACCACATAAGCCACGATTATTATTAAATAAAGCAAATATTTCTGTTGCTTGCATATTTGTATATATCACCAACATTCTCCAGGATAATTATGTAGGCTTTTAGGAAACATTGGCATGTCCTCCAGGTTTGCTGAAAAGCCTGCAGCGGTTTACACACCATAAACCTAACAGCAGTCATTTTCTTTTATTGCTCTATATGGCCCAGAATTTTCTCAACAACATCCTCTGTCATGACTTGAGTTCTAAGTGAACTGACTTGTTTTACCAAACTGGTTCTCGAACTCTGTATTTCACCCAGTGTGCAAAAGGCAACAAGGATATTTTAGGCCATCAAATCGTTTCCTAAAGTTCGATGAGGTGGGAGGATTTGGAATAACCAAAGGGGTATTTACTGAGAGAATTAATTGTGCTTCGCTGCCAAAAAAAAAAATTATTCTATTCTGTGTTATTTTAGATTATTATTATTATTATGTTATTGTTAAAGAAAGAAATACACCCAATTTAATTTTACTGTGTATAATTTATTATTCTTAATATATTTTGCTTCATTACAGTGAACAAGAAGGACATAACACAAGCTATAGGTAGTAGATCCCTTACTCTGCAAATATATGAAAGCATATATATGCAGATGGAGTTTGACATCAGCTCCTTGGTGCCAGATCGTGCACATTTCAAGCTTTTGTCCATTTTTTTTAGTTTTATTCATAGACAATATACAAGACTGACGTTAGAGGTACACCTAATCGTATACTACATTTCAGATTGTTGCAGAAGTTTGATTGCCACGTTACTGAGGTTAATATTTTATAGATCAATCAGACACTTCTTCCAACAATGTACTTAGCTGTCTATATATATATATATCTATTTATAATGAGAGAACAAATAACATTACAAGCTTGTGTACTAAAACTAACCTTATTTCAAACAACCTGAGTTCAATTTAGTCCTAGATCGCAGTTTTGTACGACATTCACGCACATAAATCGGTCACAGAGTCACTACATAAAACACATTATTCAAGTATACCAGCAGACTTCCCTGCTGCTCAAAAAAAAAGCAAATAATAATATTTATAATAATTATAACTACTACTCGGCTAGTCTGTACAGTCAATTTATAATTGTGCACAATAATAAGGTAGTCTGTTTTGTAGAAGTAGAACAGGTAGATTTTTTCGTTTTGTAAGTCAACCCAACCCTAATGCCCCTTTGCCTTGTTCGTTAAATAATTTAAGGAATAAACAGTACCTCTTGTATAGCACTGGTGAACCATGACTGCGATGGTTCTGGGTTTTGTTAACGTGATAAACGTTTTATCAGAAGGAAACAAAAAAAATGAGGCCTGGATACAGTAGCATCGCTTGTTTGAGTCAATCCATCCATTGTTTTAATCATCCTTTGATCGGTCCTTGTTAATTTTTTTCATTTTCATTCTTCTGTTCTGGAACCAAATTTTAACTTGTCTCTCTGTGAGATTGAGGACTCTGGCAACCTCATACCTCCTGTCCCTTGTGAGATACATATTAAATAAAAACTCCTTTTCCAGTTCCAGCGTCTGGTACTTGGTGTAAGGGCAGCGTTTTTTCCTGGTAGATCTTGCATGCAGCCAATTAGCAGCTGGGTTGCCTGAAGAAGAAGAGAGAGAGAGAGGACATTTTTCAAGTCATGTTTACAATGCCCTATAGAAAAAAAGATGCATGCATGCATGGATAGTGCTGTCCTACTGATTCAATTCCTAAAATATGCATTCCAAACATCAGCCCACGCCCACCTTCTTTCTAAGGCTGTATTATAGATCACCTTTATTGATACAATTCACCTGATATCTCCGCTACACATCCATACTGAACGGATGCAGTGTCTAGATTACATTTTTAATCATTTATTTCTAGCAAAGCGTTCATTTGAATGCATACTCAACGTGATATAGAAATGGAACCACCTTGCACTGTGTCCATTGAAAACCTATGGCCCCATACCCTAAGCAGCTCCAGCCCAGCAGAGCAATCTCCACTAGGATCATTTGCATATTGCAAAGATCCATGATCTGTTCCCTGTAGCTATACAGTAGAGTACATCAATTATTTGCATAGGTAGATATGTGATCCACTTACTTGGGTCAATGGGAGGCTTCTCTCCATTTGTAAGGCTTTCTCCACTACTGGCAGCAAGCGCACCGTCGTTATTTTGTTTTTCCTTGTCAGCCGGAGAGCCACAGGCATAATCAGACAAAGACAGAGTGTGAGCATCAAACGTGGTGCAATCCCCCCTCCTGCTTGCAAGCGGCTCAGGTTTAATACCGTAGTGTCTGCTGGATGTTAAGCCTGTGAAAGACAATGATCCTGGCATGGGATCCAGCCAGGAGCGCATATACCTGCCATCTGAAGCTGTAATTGGTGCTTGATGGTGCACATAGGGATGGTACACACTTGACACGTTATTAGCAGTCTGAGGGTGCACTGGGTTCCATGGGCTGCTAAACACTGAAGTTTTAGATTGAAAGCTGCACGGAGTGTATTCAGGGTGTTCTCCTAGTGTTGTCTGCCTTGGTGGCTGAGCCAGAGAGCCAGAGCCATATCTAGACTGGACCAGATCGTCACCCTCGTGAATTATGAAGGAGTCCACATAATAATTGCTCAGAGTCCCAGAAGTCGACATTGCTATTGAACAGAGCAGGACCTCCTGAAATTATGAAACTGCAGATTTCATGTAACAACTTGGTCCTACAAAGAAGTACAGTCACCTAATAAGTTGAAGGCAGACTGCACTCCTATTGGCTGCTCGGGCCATGTGACTGTGCAGCAGAACAATAAGGTATAAATCAGTCCGCAGGCTATTAATGGGTCAGTGTTTTCCAGTCATAATTTTTTATAGCAAAGCCATATGTTTTTATGCAAAAGGATATTTGACTTATACAATGCAGTCCCCTTTAATTGTGGCCAACTGAGATTAAAAGATCACATTTTTTCCTTTGCTACCATTTCAGGGACTATTTTACATCATTATTAATCACGCAGTAGGATGTAGGTATTCTCCATAGTAACTCTTTCACCGAAAATCATCCACATTGACTGTTTATGTGGACTATATAAAACATGGTATATGGAGCCATCGCTGTTTGTAATTGCACATATCCAGAAAATATAGGTGTGGTTCAAGAAGGTCTGTATGGCTAGTTATACATTATTAGGCGTGCTTATTCACTGTGTGCAGATGTAGAGGGACACAAACGAGCCTGCAATAATTCCAGTTACTATTGTGCTTTTACCTCTACGCCTGGAATACTAATATGACTATATCACAGCAAGCAGCTGCAAATTTCTTTTGAAGTCTCCCCAGTGCTATATTACACATTATCACACTGTCTGTAAATAGTAAAAGCAACCCATTTCATGAACCCTCGTCACATTTACACCAAACCAGCAATATATATTTTCGTCTCGTGCTTTTGGACACAAATGCACACCTCTCTCTACTGGTGCACACTTGCATACATTCATTTAACAGGCTATATTATTTAAGCAGCACTGTAGTTAAAAAGGCAAGGCTGTAATTCATTATAATTATGGACCAAGACTATTGTGCAACCAATTACCTCTCTAAGGCCATGCAAGGATATACTAGGTGCAGCAGTGCTCTGTGGGCAAGGTATTAAATGACATTTACATGGGCATGGTTTAAAATACAGGGACAGCTTGGGAAAATAAAATAGATTCATGCACCCATGGATAATATACCTGGGTTCAGCCTGTGTGAATATAAGGATGAGAGAAAAAAAGTGCTTTCAGGATAAAACCGATCCAGGAGAATATAAAATAACGATAATAAAAGAGACCACAAGTGAGTGTTAAACACATACAAAGGAAAGGAAATTAGGGCGTGGATTAGTGTGGGTAAATGTACAAGGCGTGATGCAAAATCTCCAGCGTGAAACCTCTGCATTTGTTCGCAGATATTGACCAATAGTAATAAAACTATATTACACTCACCACATTTTATATGAATCTGTATTATTAACAACGGTAACATTGCAGCTGGCTAAGCAACACAGTCCAACAAGAGCATGTGAAACCAAATAATCAAGTCACTGCGGAGGGTTACAGTGGAAAACTGAGCACAGCAGTCAGATCAAGTCCATTGTTAGGAATTCACTGCGATCTATCTATCTATCACTCTTTCTACCTCATCATAATCTATATACATAGATAAATATACCTTTATCGTGTTTTTTTATTTCACTTGCTGTACATTAACTTCCTATGCTAAAAGCACATCATGACAATATTCCATTATTCTTCACGGAATTATTTTCAGAAGAAAAGAACATTCTTTTTCATAAAGCACAAATCTACTCTTTTGTCCATAAGTAGTAATTATACTGCTCGAACCAAAATGCCTCAGAGCTAAAATGTTTCAAACTGTGATAAATATTATTTCAGACATGTCTGAGCCTTTATTAAAAAAATCATGTAATACCTACATCAACGAAAAATTCACTGTCTCGAAAAAAAAGATGATAATTATAGTGTAAAGGCCGTAACTGCAAAAGGTGTAATGTATTTTAGTAAAATAAAGAAATGCAAAATTACAATAAATATATAATTAAAAATTATAAAATAATATCAAAGTGTGTGTGTGTATATATCTATATATCTATCTATATATAT